GAAGGACCCACAATCCATTTCACAGAGTTCCAGGACAGCAGACCTAACAGAACCACAAGGGCTTCCTACTTTCTTCCACATATAAGGACTTAGAAGTCATCACCGCCATTCTCACAAGAAAAAAAAGCTGAACAAAATGAAAACCAACAACCCCTTTTAGAGTCATCAGAGAACAGACATCACAGGGCAAACTGCTGGTCCAGAAGCTGGAAAGTGAAGAGAATACTAAGAGTCTCAGCTTAGCAGGAGCAGAAGTCCAGGAGCAGGAGCCCTCGACTGCAGCCAGTGCTGGTAGGAGCACTCGAACTGCAATTGATAAACTTCTGGAGACTCAGTATGAACTCACAGGAGAGTTAAAACTCTGGAAGCTCAGTCTCGGGGTGGGGAGGACATTTTCATGAGTTTCACCTCCAGGAGTTCCTCTAGGCTCTCACAGTGAAGATCAGGTAAAAGTCCCTTATACTTCAGTCAGGGGAGGGGAAAAAGTAACAATTTGAAATACAGTTGACCTTGAACAACACAGGTTTGAACTGCAAGGGTTCACTTATATACAGATTTTCTTCCTCCTCTACTACTCCTGAGACAGCAAGACCAACCCTTCTCTATTAGCCTGTTCTCATACTGTTATAAAGAACTACCTGAGACTGGGTAATTTATGAAGAAAAGAGGTTTAATTGACATAGTTGCACAGGCTGTACAGAAGCATGGCTGGAAGGCCTCAGGAAATTTACAGTCATGGTGGAAAGTGAAGGGAAAGCAACCACATCTTCCAAGAGTGAGGAGAGAAGTGACACACTTTAAAACCACCAGATCTCATGAGAACTCACTCACTATCCCGAGAAGAGCAAGGAGGAAATCTGCCTCCATGATCCAGTCACCTCCCACCAGGCCCCTTCTCCAACATCTGGGGATTACAGTTTGAGATGAGATTTGGGTGGGTACACAAACCATATCACCATCCTGTTTCCCCTCCTTGGTCTGCTAAACATGAAGACTTAGAAGATGAAGACTTTTATGATGATCCACTCCCAGTTTTCTTTCTATTATTATTATTATTATTATTATCATCATTATTGAGACAGGTCTTGCTCTATTGCCCAGGCTGGAGTGCAGTGGTGCTGATCACAGCTCACTGCAGCCTTGACCTCCAAGCCTCAATCAATCCTCCTGCCTCAGCCTCCTGAGTAGCTGAGACTATAGGCACACATCATCACGTCCAGCTAATTTTTGTATTTTTTTTAGAGACAGGGTTTCACCATGTTGCCGAGGCTGGTCTTGAACTCCTGGGATCTAGCAATCCACCTGCCTTGGTCTCCCAAAGTGCTGGGATCACAGGTGTCAGCCACTGTACCCAGCAGTGATTTTCTTAATAATATTTTCTCACCTCTATCTTACTTTATTGTAAGAATATAGCATATAATACATATAATGTACAAAATATTTGTTAATCAACTGTTTATGTTATCAGCCCGGCTTCCATTCAACAGTAACCTATTAGTAGTTAAGTTGTGGAGGAGTCAAAACTTATGCTTGAATTTTTGACTGTGCAGGGGGAAGAGGGCTGTCAGTGCCCCTAAGCAAGAATCAACTGTATGCCCAGGAGATTCTGTTCTCCTTAACAAAACCCTGCCCTCAAGGAAAACTACCTTTCCAGAGCCCAGCCCATTTGGGTTTTACCAGAGTCTAATCAACCTGAGGGAAGGGAAATACCCAACTCCAGCCCCCTCTCGCCTTCCTCTCTTGCCTGAAGGGGAAAGGGAGGGTGAAGGGGCGCTGAGAAGACAGCACAGGGGCACAGGCTCACTGAAAGGCCAAGGCTTAATCCTAAACAGATAGAACAACTCCCCTCCCCCACACCTTCCCATCACATCAGCAGGGCTCCTATATAGGAGACAGCAGATGAAAGAATTACAAGCCTCAGACCCTATTTAGGAAAAAGTCCCTGAGGAAACCCAAAGACAATAGGAGAGACAAAAATAAGATTATTAGAGATTATTTTAACCTCTGACACTTCCAACTAGAAGCAAACAACAAACATAGCCAACTTCTAGCCAGAGTTTCATAAAATCGAAAGTCCCAGTTCCTACCTCAGTTCATAAAACCGAAAGTCCCAGTTCCTACTTCAGTTCCTTGTACCGATACATCATAACTGGGTATCATCAAAAAAATTACAAGGCATGTTTAAAAGCAAAAAAACACAGTCAGAAGAGACAAATTAGTCTCCCCGAGCATTTGGGGAACAGAGTTTTTAAGGACAACTTGGTGGGTGGGAGGAAGCCAGTGAGCCAGGAGTGCTGATTGGCCAGGGATGAAATCAGAGTCGAAGCTCTTTTCTTGTGCTAATTCAGTTCCCAGGTGGGGCCATAAGATCAGATGAGTCAGTTTACCAATCTTGGTGGTGCCAGCTGATCCATCAAGTGCAGGGTCTGCAAAATATCTCAAGCACTGATCTTAGGAGCAGCTTAGGGAGGGTCAGAATCTTGTAGTCTCCAGCTGCATGACTCCTAAACCATAATTTCTAATCTTGTGGCTAATGTTAGTCCTATAAAGGCAATCTAGACCCCAGGCAAGAAGGAGATCTGCTTTGGGAAAGGGCTGTTATCATCTTTATCTTACACTATAAACTAAGTTTCTTCTAAAGTTAATTCAGCCTATTCCCAGGAACAAACAAGGACAGCTTGGAGGTTAGAAGCAAGAGGAAGTCGATTAAGTTAGATCTCTTTCACTGTCTGAGTCATAATTTTGCAAAGACAGTTTCAGTTTTGGAGCTATTTATGAAATGCTGATGGTTGCCAACAATTGAACAGTATTCTTTTCCTATGGACTTCATGATCTAAATTGTTAAGCTTTCTCAGAGGTGGATAACAGTATAGGAGAGGCCGTAATGGCATTCAATTATACTTTTTAGAAAAAAATTAGCAGTCCAAAATTAACAGAAACAAATTTTGCTTTACCAATAATAAACAACATTTCCTTTATAGAAAACATTAATGAAATACAGATGCCAAAATATGTTCAGGTATTCTAACAAATTTTCAACTGTTATAATCACAGATTAATCATAGATTATTATCACTCTGGTTTCTCCTGCAGTTTTAAAATAAACTTTTAACTCTTCCTCCTAATTACTGGTGCTTCACAGTTTGAAAATCCGAGCCTTGAAAACATTCCTAGAAGGCTTTTTGAGATGTAATTTTTTAATTACATATTTTTTTATCATAAATAGAATGGTTTTGTATACATCTAGAAAATATATGAAGACATTAAGAAGACTTCAATCATCCGTTGTTATTGACTTCTGACAATCAGACATTCCTACTCAGTTATGTGAGCTTAGTTCTTGCCTACAACCTGATCAGCTGCATTTTTCTGCAAGAAAAAGAAACTGGATTTTGCTCCACAATCCTGTCTTTCTCCTGCAGCCTAGATTATGCTGGAAAGTCAAAATAGTGTCATGATGCATAACCATAGGCATCATGCCTCCCTTTCTTATAAGAAGGTACCAAAGTTAACTTTTCAAAAGGTTAAAAATGTAATTTATGCATAAGGTAGAGAATGAATGCATGTCAAAAAAAAATTTCTACTCATTAATAAGAGAACTAGCAAGATGGCAAAACTGGCTCAAGGAACATTTGAGGAAATGGGTATTTATAGGTATTTGAGAAAAGAATGTTAGTGACTACTATTTTTTTTATATATATATATATACAGAGCTCGCTCTGTCACCCAGGCTAGAGTGCAGTGGCATGATCTTGGCTCAGTGCAACCTCCACCTTCCAGGTTCAAGCAATTCTCCTGCCTCAACCTCCCAAGTAGTGGGGATTACAGGCATGTGCCACCACACCTGGCTAATTTTTTGTATTTGTAGTAAAGACAGTGTTTCACCATGTTGTCCAAGCTGGTCTCAAACTCTTGACCTTAGGTTCTCTGCCCATCTTGGCCTCCCAAAGTGCTGGGATTACAGGTGTGAACCACTGCAATAGTGACTATTATTTATAATGTAGTAACTTGGATGGGATCTTGGAACAGAAAAAGGACATTAGGAAATCTGAATAAAGTATGGGTTTTAGTTAATAATAATATATCAATGTTCGTCAATTGTGACAAACGCACCATATTAACATAAGTTTAATATTAGGAAAAAGTGGGGAAGACGCAAGTAGCAACCCTCTGTACTGTAAGAGTTAAAGAAAGAAGAAAGAAACATGAAACATGGCTTAACAGTCAAAGATAGGTTTATTTTTGTGGAATAAACCTGAGAGGGGCTTCTGGTCAGTTTCAGTCAGGACCACTCTATCTTACAGACTAAGAGTATATATTGGTTTTAGGGTGAGGGGGTTTATCACAAGCTTGGAATGTGTCTGTGTAGGGGAGAAGTTTATGGCGGGTTGGAATGCCCCTGGGTAGAGGGAAGGTTATCTTTGGGGCTGACATCTTTCTGGCCAGTGGGAAGGTTGTCTCAGGGCAGGCACACATCTCTGGTCAGGGAGGGATTTGGAATGTTTCTGGTCAGAGATGTCATTTGTGGTTTACAGTCATGCTGACCTTAGCCATTAGGCTGATCCCCTTTGGATTTAGGCAGTTTTTGATCAAGGTAAACTTAAAATGATAGTGCTTGTCCAAGATGGCGATATTCTTGCTTTGTCATGTACTATCGTCACAAATTTTGTAAATCTAAAACTGTTTTAGATTTACAAAAAAACTGTTCCAAAGTTCTAAAGATTTTATTTTAAAAAATGAAAAAAATATTAGCATAAGAGCTCTAGGTTATATAAAACGGGTTACTGTCCTGCAACACACTAAAGTAGTAATTATAACCTTTTAGGTTATCTTTTCTACTAGACAGAATTGATTTGCATCACTGCCAGACAAATAACTCACAATAACATGTAACTTCACAGACGTGGGTGCTTTAATCATTAATAGATCGTAAGACAAACAAGAACATTGCCCTAAATATTTAAATAATTTTCAGATAGACCTGTTCAACAATGCTCCAAAGTGACATTGGAAGGACACGCCTGCCTCCTTGAGCCTTATTCCTAAGTTTTGAATATAAAATGAGCTTTTAAAAAAAAATCTCCTAATAGTTTGCCTTCTGAATATATTTAGATATTCTAAAATAGCAGACAATTCAACTTTAACCTAACTTTTTCTACGTAGTGAGATATTGCCGAAGCCTGGGAAGCAGGTTTTTCAATAGGGGTGCCAGGTTTAGCAAATAAAAATACCGGATGCTCTGATAAATTTGGATTTCAGATAAAGAACAAATAATATAATGTAAATGTAATAAACAATAATTTTTAGTATAAGTGGGTCCCAAATATCACATAGCTTCATATTATTATTTCTTTGGGCTCGCCCAGTACTAATACTCTATGAAACATTCCCTTAGCAACAAATCACAAAGATAGCAGACACATTTTTTTCTACATGAACTTTGAATCCATTCATATTTTCAGCTTCTTATGTTCTCTACAAACACAAAACTATGTTTGAATACTGTACTCCATTTGCTTTGCTACATAAGCAATTTAAAATGTCACAGAGGATCTCAGGGTTAGACAATACAGGAAGACAATGAGATATCTTTGTAGCCTTACAACAGCTGGGGTTTGGCTCTTAGTGAGACAAAGGTAATCCCAATTATTCACCGTGTTCCTGACCTTCCCAAGGCAAGGATTTGAATAAGGCCCTATTGTTCATACTGACCTAATTCAAAGTTCTTTGCAGCTTACCTTGTGCTAATCACTGGCAAGTGGTCTCCAGCTGCTCTTTGGTTTTGGTTGTTTCACGCCCTTGATCCTATATGGTAGTGGGAAGATTTCCTCATCATTTTTGATAAGACAAATTTTACTTCAGTTTTTGTTTTCTCAGGCATAACTGAGAACCTATAACCATAACTGCATTTTACCCTTTCTTTGTTTAATAAGAGTGACAAAAACCATGGTAGACATTTTTTTCTACACTGAAAATAGAAGTCGAATATGTACACTGTTCTCCAAAATAAAAGCATATCTCAGAAGTTCACCTCATTCAGATCAATGTATTTCTGAACTCTTGTCTCACGTCTAGAGCCTTCTTAAGTTCAGCCAATGAGAAAACAAGCTCAATAGTCAGTGATGGATCCATCTCAGAGGAGCAGAAATCCACCTACCTGTTGTTCTCCCCAGTGACTGACCACAGCTACACCAAGAAGCAGATCTGAACCACCATTCCATTCTCCTCTTCTCCCAGGGCCATGCTCCCTCAGACACTGGGAAAATGCAAAGTGTAGAGACCATGATTTCAACTTTGAGTAGAGTAAAATAGTGCCCCTTCTAGAACTCAGGGTCCTTATTCCATTCCCATCTCAGGTGGTGGATCCTAATTAACCCAACTATCAGAATTTGGTTTTTTTTCCAGACCCTAAGTGAATTACTAAAGGATATACTCAGGCAGAGAGAAAGGGACTCAAGACAGGTGGTCTGAAGGGTATGAAGAACAAAGAAGAAAGAAAGAGATCATCTGTAGCTGATTGTCCATGAATATTGATTAGGTAATACTATGTAAATTGGTAAGACTAATGTCTAACCAAGGCTGGTTGTGGTGGCTCATGCCTGTAATCCCAGCATTTCGGGAGGCCGAGGTGGGCGGATCACTTGAGGTCAGAAGTTCGAGACCAGGCGGGCCAACATGGCAAAAACCCACCTCTACTAAAAACACAAAAATTAGCCAGGCACCCAACTCACGGCAACCATGAGTTCTAACAAATTGTCAAGAAAGGATATTTGTGGTATTACACAAACTCTTCTAGAGATTTATAAATGAGGAAGGGGGCACAATCCCCAAGTCTTTAAATAAATTTTCATGACACTAGCATAACCTCAACATAAAACTCAGTGAAGATAGTGCAAGAAAGGAAAGTTTGATGCCAATTTCATTCTTGAACATAGATTTAAAAAATCCTGAAAAACAAAGTTAACAGACAGAATTCATTAATATATTAAAAATATGTAAATATGGCCAGGCACAGTAACTCATGCCTGTAGTCCCAGCTACTCAGGAGGCTGAAGTGGGAAGATCAAGTGAGCCCCAGAGGTCGAGGCTGCAGTGAGCTGTAATCATGCCACTGCACTCCAGCTTGGGCAACAGAACAAAACTCTGTCTCAAAATAAAATGAGAAAAAATAAATATATAAAAATTAAACTGGGTTTATCCCAGGAATTGAAGGTTGATTTAACATTGCAAAATTCATGTAAACACTAACAGGTTAAAGAAGAAAAATGTCCATAAATAAATACAGAAAAACAGCTTTGATCAAAATCAAAATCAATCTCTCTCTCTTTTTTTTTTTTTTTTCTTTTTGAGACAGTCTCACTCTGTTGCCCAGGCTGGAGTGCAGTGGCACAATCTCAGCTCACTGCAACCTTCACCTCCCAGGTTCAAGCGATCCTCCCACTTCAGCCTCTCAAATAGCTGGGATTACAGGTGTGGGCTACCACACGTGGCTAATTTTTGTATTTTTAGTAATGATGGGGTTTCACCATGTTAGCCAGGCTGGTCTCCAACTCCTGGCCTCAAGTGATCTGCCTGCCTCGGCCTCCCAACATGTTGGAATTAGAGGCGAGAGCCGCTGTACTGGACCAAAGTTAATCTCTATGCTTCAAATCCATAGCAAATTAGGAATACAATGAACCTTAATCTGATAAGGGCATCTACAAAAAAATTTACAGTAAATATCATGCTTACAGTTGAAACACTGACAGCCTTTAGGATCAGCACATAACAAGGCTGCTTGTTATCAACTCTTCTAATCAACTCTATACTGGACATTCTAGCTAACATGATAAAGCAAGAAAAAGACATTGAAAAGAAAGGGAAAACTTCCAGATGATTTACACTAAAACTATGTACTTAAGTCCAAATTTACCCACTGATAAATTACTACAATTAATAACAGAATTTATATATTTGGCTGGACACAAAATCAACATACAAAAATGAATTGTAGTCCAATTTATAAGTAGCAAATAATCAGAAAATTAAATTTTAGACATCACTTATAATAATATGAAAAACAATGACACTTCTAGATATAAAGATGTGTGAGACCTCTACAGAGAAAATTAAGTTTGTTTTGAGAGACATTGAAAAAGACTTTTTAAAATGCAGAGCACTGTGTTCAAGAATTGTTAAGACTCAATATTCCAGTTTAATCCCTAAATTGATTGATAGATTTTATGTAACTCTAAATGAAATCACGGCAGCTTTTTGCTTTTGTAAAAACTGACAAACTGATTCTAAAATGTTTGTGTAAATACAAATGTCCAAGAATAGCCAATTCACTCTTTAAGATGTAGGAAAGAAACATGGAAAGATTTGCTTTTATCAGCTTTCCAAACATATTACAAAGCTTTGAGAATTAAACTAGTGTGGCATTGGCTCAGAGACACACACAGTAATAAAACAGATCAGAAGGCAGAAACAGACCCCCATACTTACAGAGAATTGGTAATAAAACTGCCCAATGGGTTCACCTTGCCTATTGCCTAGATAAAGCCAATTTATCAAGACAGGGGAATTGCAATAGAGAAAGTGTAATTCACTCAGAGCCAGCTGTGTTGGAGACAGGAGTTTTGTTATTACTCAAACCAGTCTCACTGAGCATTCAGGGAGCAGAGTTTTTACAGACAACTTGGTGGGTGGGGGGAAGCTGGAAGTCAGTGAGACAGGAATGCTAATTGATTAGGTAGGAGATGAAATCATGGGAAGTTGAAGCTGTCCTCTTGCACTGAGTCAGTTCCTGGGTGGGGCCCACAAAATCAGGTGGGCCAATTTATCAATCTGGGTGGTGCCAGCTGATCCATCAAGTATAGAGTCTGCAAAATACCTCAAGCACTGATCTTAAAAGCAGTTTAGGGAGGGTCAGAATCTTATAGTCTCCAGCTAAATGGTAATTTCTGATTATCCATAATGATGATTAAACTATAATTTCTAATCTTGTGGCTAATTTGTTAGTCCTACAAAGGCAGTCTAGTCCCCAGGCAAGAAGGAGGTTTGTTTTGGGAAAGGGCTGTTATCATCTGTTTTAAACTATAAACTACAAACTAAGTTCCTCCCAAAGTTAGTTCAGCCTATGCCCAGGAAGGAACGAGGACAGCCTAAAGGTTAGAACCAAGATGGAGTTGGTCAGGTTAGCTCTCTTTCACTGTCTCAGTCATAATTTTACAAAGATGTTTTCAATCAGGGACAGAATGGCAGACAGGAAAAAAAGAAAGATTTTTCAACAGATAATCCTGGGGCAACTGGACCCCTATACAAAAATAGATTGCATACCAAAATCAATTCAAAAGGAAGTAAAGACCTAAAGATGAAGAGAAAAACTATAAAACTTCTAAAATATAACATAGAAGAATGTCTTTATTGCTGCTAAGTGAAGTTAAATTAAAAGATAAAAACAAACACAAAATCAGAACAGCTGGGAAGATGTCTACACCAGCTAGGTAAGTCACTGTATGGAGGGCACGACCAGTTTAACTACCATCCCCAGCATTGCAAAAGATCAGAAAAACATTTCTGGGGCCAGATGCCGTGGCTCATGCCTGTAATCCCAGCAGTTCGGGAGGCCAAGGCCGGTGAGCTTGAGGCTGGGGGTTCGAGACAAGCCTGGCCAACATGGTGAAACCCTGTCTCTACTAAAAATACAAAAATTAGCCGAGTGTGGTAGGGCACACCTGTAGTCCCAGCTACTCTGGAGGCTGAGGCAGGAGGATCACTGGAACCCGGGAGATGGAGGTTGCAGTGAGCTGAGATTATAAGACTGTACTCCAGCCTGGGTGACAGAGCCAGACTGTCTCAAAAAAAAAAAAAAAAAAAAAAATCTGAAAGTGAATTCATCATATATTCATATTATTTCTGATACAGGAGTTAAAAAGTTAGGCAGATAGGGTATGGGAGTCCTTGCTAAAGTTTTCCTTTTAATGAATAGCAGCCCCCAAATCATTTACTTTTCTAACAAAGACCAGCCTGTAAAATCGAGCTGCAAACATAGGCAAGCAAGCTGGAAGCTTGCACAAGTGAATGCCAGCAGTTGCCCCAGTGGAAAAACGCTACCTGGGACTAAGCAAGTTCAAAAGGGCAGCTCCATCTTCTCTTTTTGTCAGCCACGTGTACAGTATGGAGTAGACAAGATGGCGCTGGCCAAGTGGAAAGTTTATTTGCATAATAAGATTAGGGTGAGGCAACCAGCCTTCCCTGCCACTATGTAAATATCACACCTGGTCGAACCAATCTGGGGGCCCTATGTAAATCAGACGCCACCTCCTCAAGCTTGCCTAAAAAACCTGCTGCGTTCCACCACAGGTCAGCTTTTCCCTTTCAGATGCCTTTCTCAAAAGAGAGAGAGAACTGCCCCCCTCTCTCCTTTCTTCTGCCTATTAAACTTTCCGCTCCTTAACCCACCCGCATATGTCCCTGTTGTTAATCCTCTCCTTGGGAGATGACAAACCCTGCGTATTTACCCCAGACAATGAAGCCACCTCATTTCATTTCTTTTTTTTCTTTTTTTTTTAGTAAGGTCTACTAAATAAATTTGGAAACTTCTCTTGGGTTCATTTAATTCTCCTTTCATGAAATTTCTGGTTTTTGCTTCTCTTGGTGGAAAAGTATTTTTTCACACTTAGAGTGTGGCTCTCTTTTCATTTCAGTCCGTTCGCTGATTCTCATTCTTCTCTTTTTTACTTCTCCCTGTAGGAAGTATATAAAATGAATTTCATTAAAGTAGGACCTATATTTATTCAATTATGACATATTCCATTAATATATGCTTATAGAAATATTTTTGAACTGAAAGAGAAAATCTGTTTCTGAAATATTTCTAATCTGACTTAATATTTATAATTACATTATGATTACATAAATTATAGAATTGCCTATACTTGTTTGCCTGGTCTATTTCTCCAATATTTCTGAATAACTACATAAAAAAATTTAACAGATACATCATGCGTGGTTCTCTGTGGAAAAAAAAAACTATACATTTTGCTTCAAAATTCATGTACTGAGGAACAAACTTGAATGTTTACTTTTTTTAGGTTTTCAAAATACAGACTAGCATAACTGCCCAATAATTTAGACAGAGTAATATTTATACTTCCATGTTTCTCCCCTATAATTCATTCTCCTTTGCTTCCCCAGAGAAAGGGGGACATGTAAGAATATTTATATTCAGCCTGCACTTTGTTATAAAATCAAAGACCTAAGTAAATAGAGACGAGTTCTGGTTTAAGCTGTGAGAGATCTGTCATCATCATCAGACGGTAAAAGTAATTTACCAAAGATAAGCATTTAAGCCCTAAATTTTTATCAACAACAGAAATGTTTCTTAAAGCATGAAGTGTTTTACTAACTTTCATATGGTTAGGAAAATGCCAATAAAATTTTCACTGCCTGTTTTCGTACAAAAATGAACACTGCTTTATTTCATTTTCTGAATTCTGCCTTCATTTTCTTCAGTAAGACTGAACATTGCACTTAGGAACAGACACACCTGAAAATATATTCAACTGTATTTATCTCACCTTTCAAGGTGAAATTTCAGATTTCAAAATTGTAGTTATCTCAGATGATTACCAGAATGGGGTGTAATGATATCTTGCATTTATGATTATTGATGCACCTTTTTATAGATTCATTTTTATGTTGAACTACTTATTTTATATGCATTGATGAGCATAATTGTAATTAGTTGTCTAGTTTGGTAAATGAGTACCTGGGATAATTTATGAGTGCTTCTAATTTTTTTTTTCTTTATGTCTTCTAAAAAAAAAATGGGATACATGTGCAGAACGTGCAGGTTTGTTACATAGGTATACGTGTGCCATGGTGGTTTGCTGTACCTACTGACCCATCCTCTAAGTTCCTTCCCCTCACCCCCCACCTCCAACAGGCCCTGGTGTAAGTTGCTCCCTTCTCTGTATCCATGTGTTCTCAATGTTCAACTCCCACTTATGAGTGAGAACATAAGGTGCTTGGTTTCCTGTTCCTGTGTTAGTTTGCTGAGGATGATGGTTTCCAGCTTCATCCATGTACCTACAAAGGACACAATCTCATTCCTTTTCATGGCTGCATAGTATTCCATGGTGTATATGTGCCACACTTTCTCTATCCAGTCTATCATTGATAGGCATTTGGGTTGGCTCCATGTCTTGGCTATTGTAAATAGTGCTGCAAGAAACATACGTTTGCATGTGTCTTTATAGTAGAATGATTTATATTCCTTTGGGTATATACCCAATAATGGCTGGGTCAAATGGTATTTCTGGTTCTAGATCCTTGAGGAACCGCCACACTGTCTTCCACAACGGTTGAACTAATTTACATTCCCACCAACAGTGTAAAAGCGTTCCTATTTCTCCACATCCTCTCCAGCATCTGTTGTTTCCTGACTTTTTAATAATCGCCATTCTGACTGGCGTGAGATGGTACCTCCTTGTGGTTTTGATTTGCATTTCTCTGATGATCAGTGATGTTGAGTTTCTTTTCATATGTTTGTTGGCCGTGTAAATGTCTTCTTTTGAAAAGTGTCTGTTCATCGTCTTTGCTCACTTTTCGATGGGGTTGTTTCTTTTTTCTTGTAAATATGTTTAAGCTCCTTGCAAATTCTGCATATTATACCCTTGTCAGATGGGTAGATTGCAACAATTTTCTCCCATTCTGTAGGTTGCCTGTTCACTCTGATAATAGTTTCTTTTGCTGTGCAGAAGCTCTTCAGTTTAATTAGATCCCATTTGCCAATTTTGGCTTGAGTACTTCTAATTTTTAGTTCAGGCTTGACATTTTGATATTGACTTGAGTACCTTATATACCTTGCTGGATATCTTTGATAATTCACACTTACAATGAAGAATATACCTACAGATATTTATAAACATAAAGGTAAGCCTAGAATTTATTCATTCAATATTTATTTTCTTCGAAGTATAATGAGCTTTTGCTGCTCGAAAAGGACTCTCCAACCTGAAAAGCAATTTCTAAAAATATTTGTTTTCTTCAAGTCAACTGTATTAGTTATGAATTAGAAACGTAATTTATTTTAAAACTTTAAGCTCTATTTCTAAATCTTGCTATTTTATTTATAAATCTAACAAATTTTATATGAAAAAGAACAGCCACTTGTATTTGTCCCTTTATTAATATTTCGATGAACTCTTACCTGACCAAATCATCTTTAAATGTTTAACATGACTTAGAAAATTAAATTCCCTTAGACACTTAAACTCTGATTACAAAATTAACACATCTGGTTCTCTCACTTCAAACACCTAAGAAAACGTCTTAGCTTAAGTTCTCCGCCCCCATCAGGTAGCCATAAGCCTGTCTTCTCATGACAACTTGTCATCTGTCATCATACTGACTCCCTCATTGCCTGCTGTCCACTGCCAGGAGGAGACCAAATGACCTGACCAGTTGGCGCCCACAGCGTTAGGTACGGTGGAAAGCATATTGTATTCCCTATTGAAAGTGTCCAGACAAGCATTCATGTAAAAGTGGGCTGGGCGTGGTGGCTCACGCCTATAATCCCAGCACTTTGGGAGGCCGAGGCAGGCGGATCACTTGAAGTCAGGAGTTTGAGATTAGCCTGGCCAACATGCTGAAACCCCGTCTCTATTAAAAATACAAAAATTAGCCGGGCCTGGTGTAATCCCAGCTACTGGGGATACTGAGGCAGGAGAATCGCTTGGACCTGGAAAGCGGAGATTGGAGAATCACTTGAACTCGGAAGGCGGAGATCGCAGCGAGCTATCACACCACTGCACTCCGGCCTGGGAAACAGAGCCAGAGTCCATCTCAAAATAATAATAATAATAGTAATCATTCATGTAAAAGTAATTAGGAAAAAATGGTAGAGGAATCGAGAATTAGGGATAGGAAGGCGAGGAGGTCAAGTAAGGGTAACAATGTCAAAGTCGCATATAGAGTACCTTCAACTCAATCCGAGAGAGCTCTGGAGACAACATAGGTCACACTTGAGAACTGTCCTAATTAGCAGCAAAAGAGCAGAGAATTTATACCCCAGTAGCCATCAACTATTGGCCAAGGGCGGCCCCGAGGGAATATACTAATAAATTATCAGGCATTTCCAGCTGTGGCCGCTGGAGGGCAGCCCTCCAACAAATAGATGTGGGTCCTTCCTGCTGGGAGAGAAAACCCTCTGGAACTAGTGTGCCCAAAAATGGTACAAGGTCACAAGGGTCATGGGGAGAGTACTGCCCACCCGTTACACCTGCCAGATCCATTTGTGCCTGTCAAGGTAATCCTCTGCGACAGTGGCTAGTTACAATTTCTAGAAGACAAGGCTTTGAAGAGAAAGATGAGTGGAACAAGTTCCTACTGGTTGGTCCTCAGACTGTAACTGATTTTCTTCTTTCTCCTCTACTCTCCATTCTAAATTTCCCTCATTCTAGGCCAGTATTTGTCTGATGGGTCATCTCTGAGGAGCCTGCACCCCTAGTTGTCACCCCCTTGTCACACTGTAGTTGCTATAATTGTCTATTTACAGTTATAAGTGCAGAGCAGTAAGATGTGCCCTGGTGGGTTCTATTTTTGTTCTGTTTTTTGAGATGGAGTTTTACTCTTGTCACCCAGGCTGGAGTGCAATGGCACAATCTCAGCTCACTGCAACCTCTGCCTCCCGAGTTCAAGAGATTCTCCTGCCTCAGCCTCCCGAGTACCTGGGGTGACAGGTGCCTGTCACCATGCCTGACTTATTTTTGTATTTTTAGTAGAGATGGGGTTTTACCATGTTGGCCAGTCTGGTCTCGAACTCCTGACCTCAGGCAATCCACCGCCTCAGCCTCCCAAAGTGCTGGGATTACAGGCGTGAGCCACCGTACCTGGCCTCTACTTTTGAAAAAAATTAAAAATTCGCCAGGGCAGTGGCATGTGTCTGTAGACCAAGCTTCTCAGGAGGCTGAGGCGGGAGGATCACTTGAGCCCAGGAGTTCGCAACTGCATTGAGCTACAACCACACCACTGTACTCAGGCCTGGACAACAGAGGGAGACCCTGTCTCCGAAAAAAAAGAAAAAAGATATGCTTTTATTAGCACCCTGCTCTAACCAACTGAACTAACCAGCCCTCCTAAGATATGCTTTTAAAAGGACACTCCAATATTCTTCCAGGTCAAGAGCTGGACCTGGCTCAAGGATGGTTTGGCTAAAAATGGGCTGCCACAGTGCTAGAACCCAACTCAAAAGTGACCTTGAGAAGGGGTGGCGAGGGAAAAGCCTTTCAGTGTGCAGACCTTTCACTCAGCATGAAGGGAAATGTGCCCCAAGGACAGGATACGAAAATACATGGACTTGGCTGGGTGGTCAGGAGCATGGGAGGATGAAGACTGGCTGATAGGGGAGAGGCAGTCTGAGAAAGACTCGTGACATGAGAGGGGCGTAGCCAGTGGATCCCTTGGTCATGTGTCCACTGTTGCACCTACTTAGCTATAAAGTGAGCTCCTTCATGTAAGGTAGCGTTTTGCAAGATCTCCTATCAATAAATTGGGTATTTTGTGTGCCCTTAGAGAGCAGTGGCAGAAAATTTAAATCCATATCCGGAAGCCATACCAATTCTGATCACAAAGAAATCATGCCACATATTTCTAGGGTGAAAAGTCTCTAGTATAATCAACTTGCCACCAACTGCCTAAGTGGTCTCAAGAGATCGTACCATGTTGGCTAGGCACGG